CTATGTGTATTGGATGAGGTTGCGTAAGACCATGGATTGATCGACGTTAGACATTAACACCGTCGGATGCCAGGCTAAATGGTTTAGAGGTGAAGCGTTCGCTGACAAGACCTAGGTCCCTGAGTTCAATTCTCGTTTGAGAGGTCTTGGATACGCTTTACTGAGGAGTCACATACAATGAAGTACATGAATGTGTTCTTAGTACAATTACCACGAATCAATTACCATTTCTTCTGATAACTTCACTCTGTTATGCTAATATGGGATAACGGAACCTGAGCTTTGAAAAAAACAAACATTTGTCCTAGACATCATATATTCATTACATTTGACTAGCTTCCTCATTTCGTCCAGTCACCTTTTTTTGTCAAACACGTGACCTTGAAACATAAGTCAGTCAGTCAGCAACAACATGGAACTTCGTACGTACGTCAATCAGTTTAAGTTGCCATATCATAGTGTGGTGCGATCTACTTATAAGTAGTATATGACGTGAGTATTAATGTAATGTCTGGCAGCCGAAGATGGGGGAAGATCAAGAAAGGAAGAGTTAGAAAACAATGGAATTTGTGTATGAAACGCATGAATAGTGACAATGGACTGATGTTTTGCAACAGGAACAGTCCAGTTCGATATCATGAACTGATGTTTTGCAAATGAACGATTTACGATATGGTGTTCCGATTTTACTGAGTAACTCTGTAATTTTCTTTAAATACAATTCGGTTGCCCTCACCTGTGTTCTCGTTCACTACAATGGAGATTAGGGTTCGACGTTATTATTGAAGAAGTACAAATCAGTGAAAGAAACTTAAAAGAAAAAGATAACGATGGTGAGGAACTTTGAAGGTTAGGATTTGAGAGAACACAAAGAATGTATGCACTAGGGCCATTGCAAACGCTTTTGAGTCATGTCATTCAAGGTCTCTAACCATCATCTACTTTCGTCTCGCAGACCCCAACCAGGTAGTCTGCATCTGCCAACATGACTCAGTCCACTTGTCAGTGACTTCATGGATTTCTGCCATGTTTTGGTCTGGCCGCCCCTAGCTTCCTCCCAGCCTACCTCCTACACCAAAAAACATTGCTTGGCGAGGCAGTCGGTGGTTAGGCATGCGCAACACATGTCCCAACCACCTCACAACTGATGCCGTTTCAATACTTCATCTATTGATCTGCCATCCTTACCTAGCATTCGTTTCCTAACAACAGCATTGCTTACTCGTTGGTCCTAGTGTAACGGAGTCAAAATCACTATGTATGATGTTGCTAACTCGTTCTGTGATTTCTTTCTATTTCAAGGCGATCAAACAACACAAACGCTTTGGAAGCTGAAGAACAAGCCCTGAGTGCTCTAAACTTACACAAGATGACTCATAAGACATTGATACACTACCCACCCTATTCCTGTAAAAAAACCCCGCGTATTTGATTTTCAAATAAACAACTTCGTGTTCTCTCTTTTGGTGTGAGGTGTTTTAAACTAACCTTGTGTGTTGTGATTTTAGATCCTCTCTACCCTTCAGTGACTGCTGATTATGCGTGTTACACCAGGGGTACACACACAAGCAATGCCTTCAGAGATATACCTTACCTATGCTCAAAAACAACCAACCTATGAATATTTTCTTTCTTTCTATGCTGACTTAAACTATCCAACCAATTTTTTCCAAAAAATAAAAACTTACTTCTATCATTCAAATCAATTTCATCCCCATTGATAACATCATCATCATCATCGTTATCCTCATTATCATCAGCAGTGACGGTTGTGAATTCCGTTTGCTTATTGATATTCTGTTGGTTTTCATGTAATAAAGTAGTGTGCGATTGATGCGTTGGTGATAAGGATGTTTTCATCAGTTGAGCTTGATCAACTGAAGATGACAATGATGGTGATGATTGTTGGCGGCGGTTAGGTGTTTGATAGCTTCTGGCATTTAATCGCATTAATTGAATACGCCAAATTGTATTACAATCACGTATACGATCATGTAGTTGATGATTGCATAACATTAATGAACCAAGTGAGGTTAATGGTAAATAATGTAATAGTTCAGCCTGAGAAAAAAATAAAAAAAATTTTTAAGTAAGAGATCTAGTCAAGATTTTATGTTGGCCGGGATTGTGGACTTAGTCTATTATGTTAAAGTGAACTAACTACACATGATCTTAGCTCAGAGAGCCGATAGGCCAAATGCGCCTCGTCATCTAATTGATGGCCTGGTGACTGACTGACGAAATCTCAGCTCGGATACAGAAGGCTCGATTGGTTTGGGCCAACCTACGTTACTTATGGCGTAGGCAAGATATACGTTTGCTGACTAAAGGACGAGTGTACTGTGCAGTAGTTCGCTACGTCTTACTTTATAGCTGTGAAACATGACCAGTGAGAGTAGAAGATAGTCGTCGGTTATTGGTTTTCGATCATAGGTATCTTCGAAGCATTGCTCGTATATCCTGGGACACCCGAGTGAGCAACTCTGTTATTAGGAATCGGGTGCTAGGTAAGAACGGCAGATCAATAGATGAAGTAACGAAACTTCATCGGTTGAGCTGGTTGGGACATGTGTTGCGTATGCCCAACCACCGACTGCCTCGTTGAGCTTTGTTTTGTAGAGTAGGAGTAGATTAGAAGAAAGTTAGGGGCGGCCAAACCAAAACATGACAGAAATCCATGAAGTCATTGACAAGTGGACTTAGCTATGTCGGTAATTGTCGACTACCTGGTTGGGGTCCGCGAGATGATGATAATCGATGGTTAGAGACCTTGAATGACATGGCTCAAAATCGTTTGCAATGGCGCTGGTGCATTTATGCTTTGTGTTCTCTCAAATCCTAATCTTCTGGATTCTACAACCCATCTACTTTTGACTTTCTAAATTTTTCCCTTTGAATCATACTTCTTGAATGATATCTTCTAACCCTAACCTCTCCGATTACTTCTAATTCCCTTACTACGTCTACTACTACTATTGGATTTGAATTGATAATTACATCTCTGTGCTGATGTGGTATGGCAGCATGAACTGATGTACTTACGTACGAAGTTCTACGTTGCATCTGACTGACTGACTTAGGATACCGTGCCTAGCATGGTCCAGAATAATGGTACGTGTTGATGGTCGTAAGGCTGTGGATGCGGTTAGCCACTCTGGGTGATTTGGATTGAACGTCTCTAAGTCTGAATCCCGTCCATCGAGCGTAGGTAAATTCCGATAATGGTTTGAGGACTTGTCCTCTATCATTCCGTAGTAGCAAATACCTTGAAAGGGATGTAGCTTTCCAGGATGATTGAAGGCGGCCCTGGACGTTCTGTTTGGGGAAGCAGCCGTAGAGATCTTGGACTATTGACACTGACTCTATGTGGTTATCCCGAACACTGTGCATCTCAGTGTATTGTGTAAACTGGCGTCGAGGCCCCTCTAAACAAGGGTCTCGAGTTGGGTTATGTGATCCGGTGCTAAAGAGTACTGGATGCCAATGATGTATGAGCACTTATGTGGGATTAACCCAGCTTGGCCGAGTGCTTGCACTTGGTTGAGTCCATGACATCTTCCTCATGGGAGTGTGTACGTTCCGGCTGACCTTGTGGGACAAACTCGATCTTTAGCTTCATGTGGGGTCTGAGGGCTCCAGTCGATCGTATCAACGCAAGGCAGTTGGAGGCCAGACGGTTGGAACGGTTGCTGGTTAGTACACTGTTGAGTGGCTCGGTAATCCGTTCAGGGTGCCAGGTCTAGCTGGGTAAGCCCGGCTTGTCGCTCATGCCAACCGGGGATTTCGGGTAGTGGATTGGTGGAGGGATCTTGTTGATTCATAAGTGCCCGGACGGGGTCCAATGCTTGTGTGCGTGCTTTTTGGACGTCCGACCTGCTTGCAGACCAAATTGGACAACATGTATTTTCCCGATTGGGGCAGGGGTGATCACTAAACGGCTAAAGTGGAAGTCCTTGTGTGCATGTGCAGCGGGCTTGTCGGTTTACCAAGCATTAAAGTGAATAGGATAGATGAGAAAAATAAATGATTGAAAGGAGTCAACTACTATGCACCACTATGCACTTTTAACCAGTGTTGGTGTTCGGATATTCGTCAAATATCCTGAAATTATTTTGTAAATCTAACTCTATTGGTCAATATTTAAGGTCGTCCTAAACTATCAAATTTCCTATTAGTTAGTGTTTGCACAGGAGACCGCACATTTCGGGCTCGATTCCAGCGTGCGGCTGTTGAGGATACTACACACTGTTGATGAGTCCCATGTTAGGACGAAACGGCCTTTCATATCTTTGAACACTGAGTTTGGTTAAATCACAGGAAGTATGTATAATAATAGAATTGAACTGTAGAACACAACAGATATACACAGTTTATATGTTACGCCCATTGAGATTATTTGGCATACTGTGTTCCTAGTTCTATGTTCCGTATTATTTCACTACTGAGAAGGGTGGTAAGTTTGTTCACAATCTCTGTCTTAATTCTTTCCTCATCCAACCTACATTTTTGTATATTGCTCTATACTACTTGGAAATATTCAGTAGACAATTTTATTTTAATTAATTTCTAAAGAGAGACTGTGTGATATTGTGGAGTATTTATATCGACACATAATCTTTGTTGCAATTATTGTTAGAATAGCTCGTTTTTCAACTTCTGTAGTGGTTATTCAAAGTTTTAAACGTTCTTTTAGGCACTGTTTAAACGTAACAGTTCTTATTTTTGTATTAGAATACCATGGAGATGATAGTTTTAGCTTGAAGTGAATTAATCATTGTTAGACCGCCATCAGAAACCCGGGAGCAGAAGAAGACGGCTGTTTTGTTCTGTTATAGGACTCATCAATAGTGCTCATCCACGACTCCTGCCAATCAAAGGATTCAAACCCAAGACATTAGAATCACTGAGCCGGCATCCAACGGTGATAATGCTTAACTCTGATCAACTTGAGGATTTTGTGCAACCTCATCCATTGTGTTCGGTGGCCAACTACCTCACACCCAACACAGTTAAACTCCACTAGTCACGACTTCTCACTAAAACTCCAAGAACTTCACAAAGCTAGTCACTAGTAGCTGCACAACAACGTAGGTCCTAGGTTCGAATCCTGAGAGTAGCAGGAATCATGGATGCGTACTGTTACTGCTGAATCCCATACCAGGGCGAAACGGCCGTCCAGTGCCTTCAGGTTTCTAATGATGATCTTATTTGGCCATCGATACAGCTATCTCCCCTCCTTTAGAAACTTTACAAGTTGAGACATGTACCGAATTTATCGTTATTTATTGATAAAAGAAATGTCTTTTTTAATTTTTAGAAAAAAAAACGACAAATTGCTGTTTATTTTGCTGAATTTCGATTTCATGCATATCTCAAATGGTGTAGTTTACATAAACGAATGTTAGATAATCATAAATATTGATCACTTACAAATAACTCCATTGGAAGAGAACATAAATGAAGTCTTGGAGATAAATCAAACTCTGTGGAAAAAAACAGTTATATAAACAAAGATTAGAATATATCTATATATATATTAGTTAGATTAGCGTTGGTTTTAAAGACCTAAGAGCTCAATTTAACAAGTGCTTGTGGCCGGTAGCGCACGGACTTTCTATAAGATATTTTGAAAGTGTCAGCTTCGTTCTTCAAATAGCCTTACCACTGGAGACGGAAATACGTGAGGTGTGACATTTTCTGACCCCGTTGTTCCTTTCTTGTGACGAGGTAGAATCGCTGCAGATGCTAGTTGTCTGAGGGAAATGCCTTACTGATATCACACCTTTGTACAGTCCGCAGTATGAATTTGCCCTCAGACCTTAAGTTGTTGCCTTCTAGTTTCACCATTCTTCAATCGATGTGCATGGCATGGTAGGACCTAAAAGAACATAGTTCGACTGGTTCACTACGATCGACGAGCCTGACTACCAGATTAATGTAGCAGCTACAGTCGGGTCATTTATTTTAATATGGTCTTACCATGTAAATCATTTTCCACTCTCTCTTTTTCTCCCTGTTAACTCGTTAGGTTAAACTAATTTACCCTTGTCTCTGACGCCCATTCTGATCAGTACGATTTCAAATTGAACTTATGTTATTACTGGGTTCGTCACTAAGTATGCTTCAGGCTATTACGAATTTACGTTAGTCGATAAACGCGAACGAGACAATTACCAGCGTCCAGATAGGCTAGCTTGAATCCCAAGCTGAAGATAGAAGACTTTGTAAGCGTAGAAAGTATATTCTACAAACACCCAGCAATCACAATACAATCAAGCATACAACTCTCGTTTATTTATACATTATAGAAACGTCCTTGAGACAGTTAAGAAAATAGCACACTAAAACACACAGCAGCCAATCACAGCCTTGGATTTTCCTGGTGGGAATTGAAATTCCAAGGTCAACTGATCAGCCCATGCTCGCAAACGTAAAAACCAAAATAAGGCATTTATCAAGCAAATTTTGGGGATCTAACATCCTCAACAGTTATGTTATATGCATAAGGTGTATCCGCTGTATTCGTCAACCCAGTTTAAGCTTTACTCGGTTAGTAGCATTCCGTACTTTCCATTTCGTAAACAACACTCACGTCACGAGAAGGCAGTCAATAGAATATCACTGACAGTGGTTATATACACATTAGGATAAGAGAGAGAGGGAGAGCAGTCTCCGCCTACTGTCAGTCATATTAGGGCAATTTGAGAGTTGAATAATAATAATTATTATTACTAAGAATAGTCATCTCCAACGTAGAACTTCATACGTACACACATCACTAGAAGTTGTCATACCACATTAGCAGAGACGAAATTGTCAATTCACAGACTATAGTAGTAGAAGTATGAGCAGTAATCAGTGAGATTAGGGTTCGAAGATATTATTCAAGAAGTATAATCCGTTCAAATAAACTAGAAAACAGAAAGATAAAGGTGGTGAAGAATTCAGAAGATTAGAATTTGGGAGAATGCAAAGAATGAATGCACCTGAGCTATTGCAAACGGTTCTGAGCTATGTCATTTAGTCCTACTTGGTGAAGAGACGCAGACAAAATGCTGAGTCTTCTGACTACCATAAGCAACAATGCAAGCATGTTCGGGATGCGGTTCTCACCCTCGAAATGCAAAATGTTGCTTCAAGATTGGGTTGCATCGGCACCTGAACTAGTCATAGGGACTGAAGTAGTCGAGTATGTAGACCGCTTCACATATCTGAGGAGTCTAATCAGTGCTGATAGCCTGGTTACTGACGAAATCTCAGTCCGGATAAAGAAGGCTCGATTGGGTTTTGCCAAACTGCGTCGCTTATGGTGTAGGCGAGATATCCGCTTGTTAACCAAAGGACGAGTGTACGGTGCAGCAGTTCGCTCTGTCCTACTATACGGATGCGAAACATGGCCGTTAAGAGTAGAGGACCTTTGTAGATTAATAGTCTTAGATCATCGATGTCTCCGAAGCATTGCTCGTGTATCCTGGGACGACCGAGTAAGCAATCCTGTTGTTAGGAAACGAGTTCTAGGTAGGGATGACAAATCAATAGATGAAGTAGTGAAACTTCATCAGTTGGGGTGGTTGGGACATGTGTTACGTATGCCTAATCACCGACTACCGCGACAAGCTATGTTTTGTGGTGTAGGAATAGGTTGGAAGAAAGTTAGGGGTTGCCAGACCAAAACATGGCACAAATCCATGAAGTCACTGACAAGTGGACTGAGTCATGTTGGTAGATGTAGGCTACCTGGTTGGGGTTCTTTAGACGATAGTCACCGATGGTTAGAGACCTTGAACGACATGGCTCAGAATCGTTCGCAATGGCGCAGGTGCATCCACTCTTTGTGTTCTTTCTAATTCTAACCTTCTGAATTCCTCATAATCTCTATATTTCTCCTTATAAATTTATCTCACTGAATTATACTTTTCGAATCATATCTTCGCTCCCTAATCTTCTCCATTACTGCTAATACTTCTATTATTGCTATCACTGTCGGATTTGAACTGACAGTTACGTCTCTGTGCTGATGTGGTATGGCAACCTGAACTGACGTACTTATGTACGAAGTTCTGCGTTGTATCTGTCTGTCTGTCTGAGCTATGTCATTCAAAGTCTATAACCATTGGATTACTATCATCTCGCAGACCTTAACCAGGTAGTCTACTACACCTACCAACATGACTCAGTTCAGTTGTCAGTGAATTTATGGATTTGTTCCATGTTTTGGTCTGGCTGTCCCTAGCTTTCTTTCGGACTACTTCTACATGAGACGACATCGTATATCTAGGTAATCAATCGATGGGCATACGTGAAACATGTCCTTCCAGCCTACCCCTACGCCAAAAAACAACTTTTTTTGTTATAACGTAGAACTTCTTATGTCCCGACCGTAGCTGCTACCTTGACGTGGTGGTCGGGCTTGCCTATCGTCATGACCCAACCGAGCTATACTGGCTGGAACATATGTTCTTGAAGGTTTTACCATGTCAGGCAGGTCGATTGGAGAACAATGAGACTAAAAGCAGTTACTCAAGGTCTGAGGGCGAAGTCGTACTGCTGACTGCAGAGGGGTGTGACAGCAGTGAGGTGTTTCCCTCGGACAACCAGC